TCTGAAACAACGGAAATGTATTTTTTTCTAGCTCTGTATGGCTAGAAGTCTGAGATGAAGCTGTGAGAAGGGTTGACCTCTCTTCTTGGTTTATAGGTGATCATCTTTCCCCTGTGTCTTCACATGGTCTTCCACGTGTCTGTGTCCTAACTTCCTTTATAAGGACAACCGTCACATTGAATTAGGGCCTGCCTTAATGACCTCATCTTATCTGCGCTACCTCTTTGAAGACTGTATCTCCAAACACAGTAACATTCTGAGGTCCCAGGAGTTGGGACTTCGACACACAAATTTTGAGGAAGCACAGTTCAGCCTTTAACACCTGCTTACCTCTTATCATTTTCCACCATCAACTGTTCTCCAAACACCTCTGGTCAAATCACATCAAAAAACTGATTCTTTTTCTTCCTCTGAATTTTATTTGCTTACTTTTAAACAAGTTAAATCTCTAAGGGATGCAACCCCACATGGATTCTATGGCCAATGGCCTTAGCAGGAAGCTTGCTTCAGAATTTGGCCCAAACCAGGCTACTGTTCCATGGAAGTGGGTTATCTTTCCCTGGATGACTCTGGTTTTGTTTGGTTTGTCTCCAAAAGTCACTATTTTGTTTTCCCTAGATAAAATTTGGGTTCACGTCAGGCATAAACACTTTCAGTTTTAAGAAGAGCTGTGTGCTCCCTCTGATTTGCAAGACCTTGCTTACTGCCAGCAAAAATGCCTTGGACCACAGCCTTCCAGACATAATTGGTGTTTGAGAAGTCATGATCCCAGCAGGCCTCCACAGGGTCCAACATGGCAAAAAGAGAACTACTGGCTGGTTCTGGAAGATGCTGTGCTGGTCTACACCTCTAGGCTCTGTCCATGCTCTGACCTCTGCCAGAAACGCTCTCCCCACTTTGCCCAGAGAACATCTTCACCTGACCCATGTCTCCTTCAAGAGCCAGCTGATGTGCCCACTCCACTCTGAAGCCTTCATCGCAGTGTCCTGTCTCCTTATGTCCTTTCTCTCACACTCCATGATGATAAACGGTTGCCTCAGAATCTCTAGTATGTACCAGGCATCAGTAAATGTGTGTTGTTTGCGTGGGTGGTTCAAGGTTGGTGCCAGGGATTCTATCCTGGCCGTGGCCCGTATTTTCTCACCAGCTTTGACCTCAGTGTGGACGTCTTTTACATATTTGAATGCTTTCACTCTGGGTAAAGGCAAAGTGGATCTGGGCACCGTACTTCCTAGTCTCTATTTGTGGTAGGCAAAATACTGACTCTTCCAAAAACGTCCTAATCCCTGGAATTTGTAAATAGGTTACATAGCACAGGGGAATTAAGGTTGCAGTTGGAATTGAGATTGCTAATAAACTGACCTTAAAATAGAAATATTATCTTGGATCATCCAGAAGGGCCCAACGCAATCCCAAAGGCTCTCAAAAGTAAGAGTGGCGCAGAAGGGAGCGTCAGGCGGAGAGATGGTGGAAGAACAGTCAGAGAGATGCAACGCTGCTGGCTTTGAAGATGGAAAAGGGGTATAGTGAGCCGAGTAATACAGGCAACCTCTAGCAGCCGGAAAAGGCAAGGAAGTGGATTCTCCCCTAGAGCCTCTGTAGATGCGGCCCTGCTGACACTGTGATTTTAGCCCAATGAGACGATGTCAAGACTCCTGACAGGACGGTAAGATAGTAAGTTTGTGTTGCGTTCAGTCCCTAAGCTTGTAGTAAGTTGTTTCAGCAATCAAAAACTTACACACCATTCTAAACAGACCTCTTCTCATCACTGCCCTCGTGCCCCAGTCCTACTTCATATGTGCCAGGGAGGGATAGCTTGCATTACCAACATTTGGGGAGGTTCCTGATTCAAGGACCTGGGCCTCTGAAGACCCATGAGGAGCCATAATAGTAAAGCATTTGGTGAGTTTCATTGAAGGGATGTTCTGTGCAGACATTATGACAGGACGTATGTGATTATACAGGATCAAATATGCTCCAGCTTGTTCACAGTCTGTAGGATAGAAGAGGTATGCAGGTAGTGGCCAAACGAAGGTTACTAAGGGGGCAGCTGTTCCTAACGGGGATCTGTTGGGACACAGTTACTAGAATCTCACTGTCTTCTAAAGCAACTCACCCTGAGAATTTTCCAACGGGTTAAGAGTTGGTACAATGAATTACCTAAAGGGGCGTGATCCTCCTGTCTGGAGAAAGTGGGGCTGCCACCGGGTAATATTTAGAAGGTAGGTCATTCTTGTAGGAGAAATGGCAGGAAACGGCTCGGTGCTGGCAGTGCTCTGCCAGAGGTGCGCCTCAGAGGTGCTAGTCTTACAAAAATCAACATGCAAGTTGACGGTAAATCTTGAAGAGGATGCAGTACAGAAACACCGGAACACAGATCATGAGCGGGAGAAAACCGGGGGAAAAGTGTCAACGAGTGAGGGCACGATCCAGACCCTGGAGGACCGATGGGGCGATAGGGAGCCACGACAGATTCCGGAGGAGAGGAGGATGCAGTGCAGGCTGAGGGTGCTGCTGTGGGTGGGCAGAGACAAGGGAGAAGGGGAACCTTGGTAATTACCAGCTTCCGCTCTGAAGCCCCATCACTGACTTTTCCTACCATTCCCAGTGCATCGAATCTGACAGTTCGGGCGCTGTTTTTTTAGTTAACATTGACAAGATTGGGAACTTCAGTCATTTAATTTCCATTAGTCTTTGAGGATGATGCACTGACTTTTTAAACAAAACGAAAAAGAAAAGAAAAAGCAGTCTGTAAATAGATTCTCAAAACTTCCCTCTCATCCGCAGCTCACCTAACCAGACCAACCAAATCCTGCATTTAAAGGTAAATAACGAGCGTGTAGATATTAAGCCATTTTTACTCCTCTATTAGGTGCCTGAGAGACTAATGATATTTTAACAAATAAGCTGTGACATTCTCGTAGCCTAACATCAAAATGTAGGTATGGGTCTATAAATTGAAGGATAATCATAAATAAAACAGTAATATCTACAGAGCTCCTTGCATCGTTCCTGGCGTCTTCACACTCATTTGTGTGGTTGGACTTCACAAGCACTGTGTGGAGTTGGCCTAACAGAGACTCAGAGAGCTTGAAAGCCAGGCATCAACCCCAGGCGGCATTGCTCAAAACCCTTTGCTCTTTACCCAGAACCACAGTGCCTCTTCTGTTTGAACAAATGTCACGCCACATGCGAGAAGAAACATGACATGCAGCCCGATGATACAACATCCAAGCTCAAGTGGCCGGCAAGGCCAAGACAGAATACTGACTTCCCGCAAAGCCAAAGTGGGCACAGGCCCCCTTGGAGCCCATGACCTTATTCCAGGTCTAGAAATGCTGAAATGGAGGCTGCCAGCAGAGAAAAGGCTTGGATCATCTGGAAAATGTATCTGGTGTGAAGAATGCAATTGCAGTTTCCTGAACTGTAAGGCATCACGGACTATTTCACACCTAGTTCAATCCCAGCATCAAGGATTATCGTGCAAACGCCGGCCAAGCAGATCCCACCACATCCCCCGACCAGGCCTGTTCCAGACCAGCAGAACTAGGGGTAGGAGGGGGGCCAGAGCTTTGCTGCTAGGAGCTAAAGCAGTGAGCTCTGAAATGAGCTCTTAACAGCTCTCTTTCTGCTCCATCCAAAATGCCATCTTTCAGCTGGGTTAATTGGACTGACGGGCACCCATGGCTGCAATGACCTTTGCCATCAGTGTCAACGTGGCGCCCACCATGCAGGCACAAAAAATGCAACCCTGCAGGCCACTGCAATGCAACCAGCACACCAGTTCTTCTGGGGAAATGGCATTTCCTTGTCAGTTAAAAAATATATGGGATCTAGGAGAGGAGAAATCAACAGGTTTGGATGCATAGACCAGGCACAGTGCCGAGTTTTTACCAATATTTTCTCCGTGCTTTCTGTGAACAGTGTGCCAAGTTGTTACAAAAGTCCAGGGCAAAGAAAAGGAAACTGAGGGTCCAAGAGTATAAGCAACTCCCCCATGGCCATAGAGCACCCCTCTCATTTACAGGTTAAGAACAGCTCATTTGTGACATCCAAAGTACGTCACGATGTGGCCCCTGCCCACAAGGATAGCACAACTAGGATTAAACCCAGGCCCACCTTTTTCCAAAACCCATGTTCCATGTATTTTTTGAAGGATCCAAAGACTAGCCGCCAAATAAACAAGAGAATATAGATATTTCTACCGCCCCACGCTGTGCTCTTAAATGATGGGTCAAACAGAGAGGAAAAAGGCTTTCAACCAGAACAAGGGGAAAAAAAGAACCAACTGAGATAATTGGACAAAGGTGATGAACAACCAGAGTATTCTCCATATCATTTGCCTGGATCCAGACCTCACCAGGAGGATTATTCCAAAGAAAGTGACCACATGATTTGAAATGCATCTGGGGCACCCACCAACACCTCTTGGAAAATATGGCCCCAGGGAGACTGTACATCTTGGCCTGATGGGGGAGTGTGGTAAAGAGCACAGAAGCCCCCCACTCCCCCAGATCAACGCACGCCCTGCTCAGCTGTGCTTTTCCTGTGGGAGACACTCCCCTCTGTGATAGCAGCAGTGCACGTCAAGGCTGTTCCCTCCCCTGCTCCAGTTCCAACCACTGATGGCTGTGACTTGAACCCTGTGCCGGGGCTGGCCTCCAGTTAGTTATAGACACAGAGCCTCGGCACCAGGAAGCTGAGTGCCCCCCACAAGGCTGAGTAATATACCCAACGGGAAGCTTATCAGCCCTTTGAAGCCCAGAGCTGACTTGGCCAGTATGGATGGTGGTGGAGCTGGTGGGGCAGAGTGACACTTCAGCTGTCATTTGGGACCGGGTCAATGTTTCACAGACGACTCGTCCCTGTTTTATCATCTTCCCCCCACCCCAACCAGCCATAATCCTGGGGGACAGCATCACGCACGTGCACAGAGCTGACTCAGCCATCTGCCATCAGGGTGTTATGCACAGCGGTTGAGAGCGGAAAACATCACCTACCTTCACAGCCCAGCCTCTAGCAGTGACTTGTTGTGGCTCCTGGATCAAGCCGCTTCTTCTCTCCGTGCCTCAGCTTCTCCTCTGTAAAACAGGGATTGTTATGAGATTTCATGAGAAAATCCACCCAAAGCATTTATGCTGTGTCTGACATGCCAGTGACCACTTTTACCTCCACATCAGCTACCACACCCAGGATCTTAAGGTCACTCACAAACTTTCTGGCTCTGAAATCCTAAAATCTAACATCTGACCACAGCCTATGTCTTTTCAGCTCCCTCAATCACCTGCCATCTTCTGTCTGGCCTTATCACGATGTCCAGTCCCTCGAGTGGTTCACCTTGAGCACCTCAACCTCCCCGCTTAACCCTTCCCTTCATTCCATTCTTCTTTTTAAATTTATTTATTTTATTTTTGGCTACACTTGGTCTTTGTTGCTGCACCCGGGCTTTTCTCTAGTTGAGGCGAGCGGGGTCTACTCTTTGCTGCGGTGCGCGGGCTTCTCATTGCGGTGGCTTCTCTTGTTGCGGAGTGCTGGCTCTAGAGCGCAGGCTCAGCAGTTGTGGCGCACAGGCTTAGCTGCTCCGCGGCATATGGGATCTTCCCGGACCAGGGCTCGAACCCATGTCCCCTGCATTGGCAGGTGGATTCTCAACCACTGCGCCACCAGGGAAGCCCTCTTCATTCCATTCTTACGATCCATCACGTCAACCATCCTCTGGGTTCTTGCTCCTCAGTGCCTCTGTTACATGCCCCAGAAGAACCCAACCATGGGTCATACCAAACATCTGCCCCTGGTGCTGCCCCGCTGGGCCCCTCCTCACCCTGGAGGTCATGACCCAGCCACACCCTATCCTGGTCCCCATCCCAGCTGTGGCATCAACACACCTTGGTTCCCAGGCCAACTCCCTCCATCACTCTAAGGAGAGGTGCTCCACTGTTCTCAAGTCCCACAGCACAGCACCTGGCTTCCTACTTCCAAATGGTAATAGACGGATTAGGTATAAACTCCCTCAATGTTTTGTTTCACTGCCCACAAATTTATTTATTTATTTATTTATTTAGAGTCAATTTTGTTTATTTATTTTTGGCTGTGTTGGGTCTTCATTGCTGTGCGCGGGCTTTCTCTAGCTGCGGTGAGCGGGGGCTTCTCTTCATTGCAGTGCGCGGGGCTTCTCAGTGCGGTGGCTTCTCTTGTTGCAGAGCACGGGCTCTGGGCACGCGGGCTTCAGTAGTTGTGGCTCGCAGGCACTAGAGCGCAGGCTCGGTAGTTGTGGCGCATAGGCTTAGTTGCTCCGCGGCATGTGGGATCTTCCCGGACCAGGGCTCGAACCCGTGTCCCCTGCATTGGCAGGTGGATTCTTAACCACTGGGCCACCAGGGAAGTCCTGCCCACAGATTTAGAAGCCCCCGCGTCTCTTTTTACCATGTCCTCCTCCTTGACGTAAGATGTCCCTGCTTCCACTTTCCTCTGTACCAAGCATCACTCGGGAGTCTTGCCCATCAGTTTTCACTTCTGTATTCTGTGCTTCCAGGCTTCCCCTCACTAAAGACCCCTCCCCTCAGCATATAAATATGCCCAGGCTTCCCAAACCTTAAAAAGAGAAGAAAAATCTCCCTCATCCCTCTCTCCCCCTCCAGCCCCTTCATACAGACAAGCTCCTCCAAAGAGCTGTCCACACTCCTCGCTACTTCACCTTCGCTGGCTCTGCAGTCTGGCTTCCTGAGAAATTACTCTAAGAAGGTCAATAACAAACATGGAGTTGCACTTGACCCCCTTCTCTTCTTCCCTTCTCCCATCCAGTAATTTAAAGTTTGATCAACTCTGACCCTACCCACATAATAGCTTTTACATCTTTCCCAGCTCTCCAGCCCACTAGCAGGGGTGCGTTCTGGATTTCCAAATTTGTCCAAAGATATTTAATTCATACACATCGCCATCCAGCCTCTACTCCAAGCTAAGAGGGAATGTAGGAATGTTACTCTCCTGACTCACCATTCTAAACCGGTTCCCACTGCCTCTAGGGGTAAAATCTGCTCTCCTATGCGTGGTGTACAAGGACGATCTGGCAGCAGTGAACATGGCCTTCATGAGGGCTAACTGAAGGATGGTGACCGGGAATTTAAATGGACATGAGCTCCCCTCCGTCAGGGCACATATTCATTTCCCTCTTTTGAAAACAATGCTCTTAGTAGGAGCGAAAAGTTTTTTTAAACTTTCAGAGGAAATTCATCAAATGTGGCCCAAATTGGAATACATTTATAGCGTAACGGAAATGTCCTTTTCAGGAACAAATTTTATGTGGTTATTTCTTGAGATGGCTCTCCTACTACAGAAGGCACCACTTAACAGAATATGCTGTAAGAGGCAACTTTCTTAAGAACTGGATGTTATCTTGTGTGATATTTGCAAGTCCAGGACCAAAGGGTCCTTCTCCCTGCCCACTGCATGCCAATGCTCAGCCCTCAGACTCCAGCCCTCTGACCTAGATAGATGCGGCAGCCATCACCGTGCTCCTTTCCAGAGGAGACCCTGAAATCCTACAAGGAAAGGGATTTTCCTTGGGTCCCATGTCCAGTGTCTGTAGCAGAATTGGGACCGAAAGCTGGTCTCTTGCCACTGTGGTGTGGGGTGTCACCCATAGGACCCCAGGGTCCACACGGTCTAATATGAGAAGCCCCTTAGGAGCTGGGTCAGATGTATGTCAGCACAGAGGCTGTGATGGGTACGAAGACGTCTGGACCACTGGCAACCACACAGATGTGTGATGAAGAAATGGTGGAGGAGCCTCTAGAAGGAGGAGTAGGGATGGATGTCCCCAGCACAGGGAGTTCAGGATAAAGGAGGAAGCAGGACGCACTCAGCCCCCAGGCTCAGCCCCACAGGAAATGGCTCTGCACTCCTTGCTCTGACTTAACAAGCACTGAATTCCTCTCTGAGAAAGTGTTTTCACCAGAGCATCTGGTCCCACCCTAGAATACCAAGCAGAAGACAGTCAGATAACCACTCTGATTTCTTACCCCACCATCTTTCTACTGAGCCAGTTAATAATTCCACATCAGTCCAGGTCTCTGGTGGCCCAACCAGCTCCATGCTAAATGACTCGCAACATCCAAGCCAACGCACAGTGCCCTGACATTGTTGGCACAGCCTGCAGCCCAGCATGGATCCACCTACCTTGCCAACACACACACACACACACACACACACACACACTTTGCCTGATACGCTTCCCCCAGTCGTGGTCTCAGAGTCAATGAATGACCAGATTCTCCACGCAGTCACTCAACCTCATGTTGAGGAATCAACTTCAGTCCTGCTTCCCAAGCAGCCCAGAGTCAAGTTTGTCCAAACCCCATGAGCTGTCCCCCTGTCCCCAGTCCCCACCCTGCCCACCTGGGTCCAGGACCTCCTCATCACTCGCCTGGATCACGTCTCCCCGATCCTCCCCAACCCCCATCTGCCCCTCCTCATAACCACTGCAGGCCTTTGGAGAGGCCTCTCTAAGACAAACTATAACCACAGAACTCCTCTGCTTAACCTCCTTCAGTTCCATTGTCCACAGTAAATCCCAGGCCCCCCATTATTTACAACCCTGAATCCCAACCCTTCAGCATGCTAACCACCGAAGGCCAATCATTCATTAATTCATCGACTCGACAAACATTCATTGAGTATCTATTCCATGACGGGCACTGTTCTAGGCACTTGGGATAAATCAGAAACAATGACTCCTGCCTCCATGGAGCTTACACTCTAGGTGATAGAGAAAACATAAGTAATAATCATAATAAATGTGTAAATTACTGTGTAATTTAGGAGGTGGTAAGTGCTGTGGGAAAAAGAAGATGGAGGATGAAGAAAGGAAGTCTAGAGTGCGGGAGGGGTGACAAGTATCAATTGGGTGGTCAGGATCGCCCTAGCTGAGAAAAGGACATTGAAGCAAAGACTTGAAGCAGGTGAGGTTGTGAGTCTCAAGGATATCCAGAGGAAGACCAGGCCAGGCGGTGGGAAGAGCCAGTGCAAAGGCCCTGAGATGTGTTGGGGAAACAGCACAGAGGCCAGTGTGGGCAAAAGAAATTGAACAAGAGGGAGAGGAGGGGGAGACGCCATCAGAGACGATAAGGAGGCCAGACTAGCTCCTCTGTCAGTCCCTGCCCTGCACCTCACGAGTCTTTTCTCTGAAATGTCACTGTCGCAATTCCCCGAGCAAACTGGGTGCTCTCGTGCGTCAGTGCTGTGACTGTGTTCTGGTGCCATACTTGACTGACCACCAACCCTCCTGACCGCCCTCCCAGAGCTCTGACAAGCCCATTTCCTCTGCTCCTATTTTCCTTGATCATAAAGGCAATAGAGCACGAAACACACTGAAATGCAATTACCCAACTCCCTGTCTACATAACCCCCTGGACTGAGCTCTTTCAGGATAGGAATCCTAACATCCCTTTCCTCTCGGTTTCCCTAGGAAGCACCTCGTGGCTGGCTACAGAGCGGATGGACGGAGAGAGTCCGCAGCAGAAGGGTAGGAGAAAGGTAAGTTGGAAAATACTGCTTTGCCTGAAAATTGAGATTATCTTGGTCAAATACACACTTAAACTCAGTTTCCCAAGATAAATATGACAATCTTGGCTCTACCTGCCTTCCAGAGTTATTTTGGGAGTCAAAAAGAGAATGGATAGGACACGCCTTACAGAGTGAGACTAACCAAGTGCGGAGGGCCGTCATTATCGTTCCTGGTGTTATGCAGATGTGTTTGCAAAACGGAGCAAGGGGAGCCTGACTCCCTGTGGAGAAGAGCCCTCCGGGTGATGTATGAGGAGGGTCCTTCTACTGACCCATTCACGCTTCTGTCCAGCCAGGTCCAGGCGGCCGGACTGTCTGAGCCACACCTGCCGTGGGAATACCAAAGACCCCCTCCCAACTCAATGCCACCCCTTCAAATTGTCAAAAAGGCATCGTGTGATAAATAGAGCTCCCACATGCCACAAGGCAAGTGTTTAAATCTTTCATAAGATAGTCAATGGCCTTTATAAACCCTCAGACAAGAATTACACTGTGTCTGAGGTGGGGCTGA